AATCACTGATCGTTCCCATTTTTAAGAAGGAATCCCGCTACGATTGCGAAAACCACTGTGGGATGAGTTTGATCCCGATCGTCACCTCAGTCATACTTCGATATCTTTAAGCGAGACTAAAATTCGTGAACAGCAAGCCGGATTCCGGCTTGGCCGTGGATGTGTTGATCAGATTTCTACGTTGCGTCAGACCCTTGAGCTGCGTCATATTCACCGTCGGCCGACCTGAAAGGAGCCTTCGACTCACTTGACCGTGGAGCTCTGATGGCTCCCTTCTTCGAAAAGGAATACCCCATAATTACGTTAACCTACTGAGGTCACTGTACTCACATACTTCCGGTCGTGTAACAATAATCTGAGTAGGCCGTTCGTCACCAGCAGCGGCGTTCGTCATGGGTGCCCTCTTTCGCCGTTCCTGTTCAATTTCGTCGCAGACGAAGTACTGGAGAGCTCACTGAGGGGACTCCAAAACGTAGGTATTGAATGGACAGCTGGAGAAAAGCTATGCGATTTGGAGTACGCCGATGATATCGTCTGTCTGTTCGAATGTATGAAGGACGGGCAAAGTGCACTTGATAGAATAACAAGTGCAATAGCCACATTCGATATGTGCTTTGCACCTTCAAGTGCAAAGTGATGCTGCAGGACTGGGTTTCGTCTACTCCCACTCTGAAGCGAAATGGTTAGGATTTAGTTATGGTAGATTACTTTTCCTACTTAGATAGTTGCGTGACCAATGACGGTAGCGCAGTAAAAGAGATAACCGCCCGCATTTCCAAGGCTCGAGCAGCATACGCAGGATTGAAACACCTTTGGCGTAGACGCGACGTTTCACTGAAGTTGAAAGGTCATGTATATTGTGCCACCGTTTGTTCAGTTGTGCTCTATGGTTGTGAGACCTTGAATTTGCGAGTAGATATCCGTCGACTAGAATTTTTCGGCCATCGTTGTTCACGCGGTTTAGCCCACGTTGGATGGAGCGAACGGGTTAGTAACGTGGAGGTAAGCCGTCGTGTATTTGGGAGTCTATCACGTATAAACCCGCTAGCACACTGAATTCAGATTACTAAGCTTCGGTGGCTAGGGCACGTATTACGTATGCCCAGCCATCGTCTGCCGCACCGTGATATATTCGCTATGGCTAATCCGGGCTGGAGGAAACCTCGAGGAGGTCAACAGATGACGTGGATGAGAGGCATGGAGAAATGCACAGAACCATAGGTATAGTAGGTGTCTCTGGCCTTCCAGGTTGGGGTCCGAAAGACTTCATACCTGGTTGGTTGGAGACACTGAAGGATAGGGCGGCGAACAGAGCAGTGGCGTTCTTGTTGTCGTTTCTTATCTTGTTAGAATGCTTGAAACGGTATGTATACAGAGTTCGATTGCGTAATCTGTGTTGACCATAGTGGCTCACCTTCTCCCTCCCTCAAATTAGATCCAATCCCTGTCCACCCTAAATTTCACCCTGATCTTCTGTGCGTTGTGAGTTTGGCAGCGGTCATTGAGGTTCGCTTCACGGTATTTCGCTGTACGATGATGATAATGACCTCTAGCACCGGCGCTTACTACTGCTGTGACTAAATATGCACATCACAATAATCTGAATAATTGTATTTTTAAAGTTGTCCGCTAAATCAGTGTTTTCACCGGTAAATTGTGCATTCGTACCAAAATTGCTTTTGCCATCGATTCTTCATGTCCAGGAAGTCTGAGTGTATGGTTTGCTTGAACAAAGCTGGCATCAAAAGGCCTCTGGTCTTGGATAATTATCATTTTTTCACAGTGCGTTATGCCGGTGCTGCCGAAGTCTCATCAATCCTGAAACTGTAATACTTCGTAAATCTTTTCCGGCTACTCGCAAAAATGTCAGTAGTGTGTGTACTCCAGGCCACCGGTCGCTGAATGCACACAGTGGGTATACTCTGCGATAATGAAAATAGTCTGGCTACTGGAGCATTATTGCAGTTGTTCAGGTCAAGTCGAGAATCGCTTTATTCACCCTAATGGATGGATGGGAGTAGAATTTAGTGAACATTTCAGCTGTTTGTACTACGTTGTAGACAGCGTATTCTGCACAATGCGGTGTGAAAGCTGTAGACGATGCCATCGTCTACAGGTTAAACCGATAATTTGAGAATTGATCTCTTTTTGATATTAATTGAGAGGTTTATCGAATGAAGTAGGTGTAGAAACGTTGAGCGTTCCAGCTTTCATAATTAGGCATGAGGTAGAGAACTGGTAATTGTTATGTATAAACGGAATAACAACGAATGAGAATAATTGTTGCTTATGTACCACTCATCCCCAAATCCGGATAATGCTTAATAAATTGCAGATTT